TACATAAAACAACATGTAAATATAACAAATAAGAGATTATTACATCAAATAACAAGTTCTACAAGATGGAAAAGGGAAAACAAAAAATAACAAAAAATAAACAAAGAAGAAAAAATCAAATATTATCCCACTTTCCCACTATGGACAGGACTTTATGGGACCAACGGAGTTCAAGATTAACAATTCAACAGAAGCCATCCACACTAATATGTTGTTACAAGTCCAGATTGTAACATATGTAAGCTAGTTCCTGCTGTTTCATCATGTTATAGTGTCTCACTTCCTTCAACTTTTAGAAGGGAAAGTATAGCAGTGGAATCTCACAGCTGCCATTACCCTTGGGACAACTCTCCCATTTAAGACAAGCCAAGAAAAAAAAAGAGGAAATGTAGCTTTGAAGACTAGGACTTAAGGCTGTACTTTCACTGATGGAACTCCTTGTGACAAAAGAATTTGGAGTCAGGGATGCCCCCTGTCTACTGCACCCTCGTGTTCAACCTCAAAAGCTGCTCTAGAGGGCTGGGAATCCCTTCAGCAAGCAAGATGGGAGATAAACTTTATATAACATCATGATTTTGAACTAACCTGCTGAATACTTGTTCTGTGCTCTCAAGTCACAGCTACCTTTAGCTAATAGAGCTTTCAAGGTATGTGAGATATTTAAAGAGCACCTTGACCATTGCCACCCACCCACCCCTCAGTGGGTTTCCATGGTTAAGCAGGGATCTGCTGAGTCCTACTCCTGAGTGCACAGGACCACTTCAGGATATTGGCAAATTAAAACGGAAACTCAGAGAAAGTGATTTTTTTAAAAAAAATTCATTGGGGGATCACAGAAGTGCTGCCTCGTAAATAGGAACTAAATGATTTTAAAAGAAGACTGAAAGAACTAAAGCAGCAGTACAGAAAAGGTGAGGAAACGGAGCAAGAAATTAGTAAAAAATCCCATCAAAAATGAAAGTGATAAGAGAAGTAAGGATGAAAAGGAAAATGTCAAAAGGAGCTAGGCAGAAATATATGTGTAAAAGTAAAGAAAGAAGATAGATATACCTGTATAGTTGTTATTTTATAGCCATTATTTAATATTTGTGAGAAAAGAATCAACAAAATCTTGGGGTAGTATAGCCATAGCATAGATAAAATCATATTTACCCTTGCATTCTTGAACCATATGTAAAATCCATGTTGCAGTTTTCTTAGTTTTATTTACTTAACATTAATTGTGGTTGTTGTGGGTTTTTCGGGCTCTTTGGCTGTGTTCTGAAGGTTGTTCTTCCTAACCTTTCACCAGTCTCTGTGGCCGGCATCAGAGTGCTGTCCTCTGAAGATGCCGGCCACACAGACTGGCGAAACGTTAGGAAGAACAACCTTCAGAACATAGCCAAAGAGCCTGAACAACCCACAACAATCATTAGATCCCGGCCATGAAAGCTTTTGCAAATACAACATTAATTGTACTTACTGAAGAGAGACTTTGCATGTACATTATAGATGCTGGAGATGTTTGGGTTTTGTCTGGAATAAATTGGCATCCAGCTTCATAAAGCTGAGTACGGTGTTCAACTTTGCATTTTCTGATTTGTCCTGTTTTTTCTTGGAATATATATTGACCAGTGACAGCTGCTGAGCATCTAAACAGTATTAGAAACAAGAATGGTTAGCCAGCCAAAAAAAATAAATTAAGAACTCATCATACACGGAAGTAGATTGTTCTGTGCTGATCTGGGTAAAACAAAACATGTCCATCAGGACTTACGGTAACAAATGGCTGATCACATTGCTATACATTGGCTACAGTGATGCAAACTCAGATCATTCAGTCCATCTGCGAGTCCAGACAAGAGCAGAATCCCTGAAACAAATGCTGAAAGGTAAATTACTGCTTCTGTAAGTCCCACTGATGGAATGGGTCTACCTAAGTTAGGAATAGCAATCAAATTCAGGGCACGGAGCGTGTCATACCACTACAGCTAAAATGAGATTGAGTTGCGGCAATCTCTTTATTCCTAGAACGCCAGAGATATACTGTTCACAGAACAGTAACAGATGGAGATAATACAGTCATGACGAAATGACATAAAAGTTGTTGGTGAAGGTGAACCTTCTTATGGAAGCAGTTACTGAGGCCTTGTTCTGCCACTAATCAACAACTGCATATGAAAATCAGGGGATTGTTCACTTTGCATGGATTTACAAGAGCTGTCAGAAGGATCCTTGCTGCAATAATGACATTCCCTGATTTTGACAACAATTGCTATTATTTCTACTGACAGCTGATTCTTATCTGTTTGAAAACTTGCTGTCCCAGTGAGTGCTCAGGAGCCAGTGAGATTCTAATACAAGTCTTTATACTCAAATGTCTGTGAGTCAAACTAGGCAATAAGGCCAAGGTGTATGAGAGATAGATGAGGAACGTAGGGAACACCTCTGCAAAAAACAAAGAAACAACCATCCTCTCCATATAAGACCAAAGCAGTGCCGAATCCCCTGGACAACGACCGTTCACTCCACACCCAAAGTAACAAGCCCAATACAAATATGGTCAGTAAAACATTCATATCAGCAGATGATACACTTTTAGAATAGTACCTGGTTGCTTCAGCCTGGTTTTCCCCAGTATCGTAGAAAGGTGCATTATTGTTATATTCATCAAAGACACCCCACCTGAGATGGGCCCACTCGTGGACAAAGACTCTACCTGTGGAAAAGTAGAAAAACCCAGTTGTTACATTTATTAAGTAACAGCTTGCCGTTTGCTCAAAAAGATCTAAAATAAAAATCGAAATGGTGTGGACCCACACCAGAAACACGGCAGCTATAACAGGAATGACCAGCTTTTTGGTATATGTCTCCTATGTCTATAACGGTTGTGCGCTGAGTGAATTTGGGAAGATGGAGCTATAATTGTAATGTTTGAGTTAACAGATGCGTTTTTAGTTCTCTGGAGACAGAAAATCCATCATTATTAGTGTGAAGATAAGGCGTGGTAAACAGCAGGACAATGCATCTCTGAGAAGAATGCTTTAATCCCAATCAGAGCCTGATGTCTAAAGTGAAGGATAGCTGATATCTTCCCTCACATTTCACATACAGAAGCTGAACAAAGTACCTCAGAGGGCATGGGGAATGAAGCTATGTCTCGTAGGGATGGGATTTTCAGAACTGAAGGACTCCCAGACCCATAATTTTCAGGAAATCCCCCAGGCCAAATTATGGGATTAAGAGCCCTCAAACTGGCAAGAAGTACTGTAGAGCATGTCCCTTACCTTTATACTGTTCGCACATCACTACTTCAAATCATTAAAAAAGTGTCCAGCTGCACCATGGGAGTCGTGCGGTTTCCCTGAAACTTGCAAAGGTGCCTTGGGAAATGTTAACCCCCCCCCCTAGAGTATATGGAGAGAGCTTTCTCTGGAATTCATTCCCTCATGCACCTTTGCAAGGCGCATGGAATCCTCGCAACTCCCATGGTGCAATCGGGCACTTTTCCAATGGTTGCAAGAAATGGTGTGGAAGGTGAGGGGGCTGCTTTACCTCCTACTGGTTTGAGGTCTCCCAGACTCACAATTTGGTCTGAAGGATTCCCACCAAATCATGGGTCTGGGAGTCCTTTAACTCTAAAAATCCCATTCATAATGCCTAGTGACAAGTCTGTCTTCTAACCTCTTACCACAACTCCTCACCAACAGAATTGGGCACATGAAACAGGTAACTTAATCTCTTTTATGGTAGACCTGACCTCAACAACACACAGCTTGGTACAGTAATTAGGCATGGGAATTTTGTATTTCTTGGACTGAATGGAGCTGGAAGGGGCTAAATTCCATAGGAACTGCAAGGAATGAGGGGAGTGGTGGTAGTTTTTTTAGATTAACCTTGAACTGAGGCTAATGGGCAGAGGCACTGCCAGTTTCTTAAATCTTTGCTGATCCTGCTTAGCCTCTCCCAGCCAATTTCTTTCTTCCTCACATGCAGATGATGATTGTCAGATCTTTCATTCTTCACCCGAGTTTAACTGAAAACTCCTGTGAGGACTTTGATTTCTGGCTGGGAGAAATTCCTGCAGTATTCTGGGAATTAAAATCCAAGAAATATGAAAGTCCCTTGCCTCACAGTAATTGTGCTGAAGCTAAAGAATAGCTTAAAGTTGTACTAGTGAACGTCAAATGACAATCAAACTAATTCCTATGTAGACATAAGAGATTACCAAATAGAAGCCACTCATTGTTTCTCAGGCCACTGAATACGGATCATCAGATACTACCTCGTGATCCATAAACATCATGCAAGCTGTCATTAGTCAGGAAGTTAGATGTGAAATGGATGTATCGCCCCTGTTCCCCACACCCTCCATACTGCAAGGTGTAAGGATCGTCTCCGTATTTCAGGTAAGGATCGGCGACGATGACATCAGCCTAAAGAAAGACAGGAACTGGTTTAAAAACCACTAAGAAGAAAAATTATAGTTTTGTTATGACTTTTGCTTGGAAACTTTTGCTGAGGCAAGATCCCCTAGATTTTTATTATACAGTAGGACTTCAGTTTGCAGTATTCATTACAGCAGGAGTGGGACAATGGTGGGTTTTCAACCCTAAACCAGCTAGAATCTCATCCTATTTTTCAGATGCTGGGAGGACTTCAGTTTGCAGTATTCATTATAGCAGGAGTGGGACAATAGTGGGTTTTCAACCCTAAACCAGCTATAATCTCATCCTATTTTTCAGATGCTGGGAATGTTTATATGTCCATGGGATGTTGGAGTTATGTGCTGTCAAGTCACCTCCAATTTATAAGGACGCTAAGGATTAACCGTCTCCAAAATGTCCAGTCCCCAACAGCTCTGTTCAGCAATTGCAAACTCAAATCTATGGCTTCCTTGATGGAGTCAATCCATCGTATACTTGGTCTTCCTCTTTTCCAGCTGCCTTCCACCTTTCCCAGCATTATTGTCTTTTCCAGAAAATCTTGCCTGCTCATTATGTGCTCAAAGTAGCACAGCCTCTATTTCCACATTTCTAGAGAGAGTTCAGGCTTGATTTGATCTAGGACCCACTTGTTTGTCTTTCTGGCTGACCAGGGTATCCACAAAGCTCTCCTCCAGCACCGCATTTCAAATAAATCAATTTTTTCCCAGTCATCTTTTTTAACTGTCCAGCGTTCACATCAGTACATGGGATTGGGAATACAAGAGTGTGGATGATCTTGGTCTTGGTCTCCAGTGATGCATCCTTAATACTTTATAATATTTTCTGATTCCTTCATTTCTGCCTTCCTGAGTCTCAGTCTCCTTCGGATTTCTTGGCTACAATCTCCATTTAGATTGACTGAACCAAAGTACAGAAAATCTTTAACAATTTCAATTTCCTCATTGTCAGTATTAAGGTCACATAGTTCTTTTATAGTCATGATTTTTGTTTTCCTAATGTTCAACTGCAGTCTGACTTTGGCACTTCCTTCTTTCACTTTCGGTAAAAATCATTCCAAGTCATTGTTGCTTTCTGTCAGTAAGATGGTGTCATCTGCATATCTTAAATTATTGATGTTTCTTCCACCAGTTTTCACCCCTCCTTCATCTGAATCTAGTCTGACTTTCCATATGATAATATTCTTTGTATAGTTTGGATGGATGAGGGGATAAATTGCACCTTTGTCTGACACCTTTGCCTATAGGAAACCATTCTATCTCTCCATTTTCTGTCCTAGTGGTAGTTTTTTGTCCACAATATAAGTTGTGTATCAGGAACATTAAGTGTTCAGGAACATTTATGGAATATCCATGGGATGTAACAGCCATAATCCTGTGCAGGTTGAGTTAAACATAAACTACATTGTATTCAGTTTGGCTTCTCCATAAGTAAGTGCACATATGATTACAGTCTAATTTGTAAATATGTATGTATATATAGTTGCAGAGTAAAAACAAAAGAAGACTATGCAGGTTCCTTAAGGGTAGCAGCAATCCAACAACCATTTTCTAAGAGTGGCTATCAAAATACTTTCTGTAAATTCAGAATCAGGATTTCAATGGAGCGCTCCTTCTCCATTGCATACTTCAGCAAAACAAAGCAAAGTGTGCTGCTTATGTACCGCCTCATAATGCTTAAAGCTCTCTCTGGGTGGTTTACAATTTAATTATGAGGTGGGTACTCAATTTACTGACTTCAGAAGGATGGAAGGCTCGAACTTAGGGCATGAGGAGAGTTTTGACTGCAGTACTGCAGTTTAACCACTGCACCATGGGGCTCAGCAACTGGTGGCATTTGAAAACACAAACACCATTCTGAATGTGGAGGTTTATATCATATGCTGTCAAGACGTGTTCAACTTGTAGTGAACCTAATAGGGTTTTCAAGGTATGTGAGATATTTAAGGAGTGGTTTTGCAAGCATCAGCCCCCAATGAGTTTCTATGGCTGATGCTTGAGGCCTAGTCCATCGCTTTGTCCACTACAATACAATGGCATCTATGACCAATAGCCATTAGTAAAACTGGCCTCTGTCAATTTGCCTTAGGAATCTTACTTTAAAGCCATCATCACACTGAAAGGATGTGAAACTGTGTACAACACAATTCTGTGCATTTATTGAGATATAAGTCCCACTGAATTCAAAATATAGGAGTTACAATTGATTGGATAACAGACCCATTTTGTAACTTTTGCTCCTATTTTTTAAAAATCACATTTACAGAAAGCACTTTTCCTGGAAACCTCCAAGACTAGAAATACTTTTTTAAAGGAGGGGACTCAGAAATAGCCCTGAGAACTACAAAAGAGACCATATAGGGCCACTATATGGGTGGCAGGTCACTCATCCTAGTACAATGCTTCTGGCTGAACCTGAAGGACACACTTAGGTGTTTCAGCCGACAGCCATGGCAAAAGCCATCCCCATAATTTTTTTTCTTATGTCTCTTCTTTTAAAGCCAATATCCCATTGCTAAGAACATTGAACTGTGTACAGCTGAATTCTATATACTTTTCCTGAGAAGACTGTCTCACGAGTCGACATTCAAAAGATTTTAGTACCATTGAATACATACTGGATCAGAACACCATTTAATGTGGAGCAGGGAATGAGGTTATTCCAATATTTCTAAAAATCGCTCATGTACATTTAATAACTTGATGTATGCTCCAGACTTACTTTATCATAGGATTCTGTGGTAACTCTTTTATACTCAGGCTTGGGTGCCCACGTCAAAGGAACTATTACTTTCACAGTCTTGAAATAAAACCTTTGTTTTGTAGCACTGAAGAGGTAAGGAGAAGCCTCTGTAACCATGTCCTCAAAAGAAAAAGAAAAAACATTTTATGAGAATTGTGTTTTGGTCTCTGGTAGTTAATACTGTACTGGAATTTCAATTTACAGAAATTGATTTTGCTTCTTTGTCTCTCCCACCTCTCTCAGAAGCCTGAGGAAGATAAAACAGATTTTTTCCTGAAAGTCAAGCAAACCAAAATAGGAACATTTTATGAGAATTGTGTTTTGGTCTGTGGTAGTTAATACAGTATTGGCATTTTCCTGAAAGTCAAGCAAACCAAAATAGAAATGAGAGCTTGAACAAAGTTACTTTTTGGGACTACAGCTGCCAGAATCTCCTGGCCAGCACGGCTACTGTATTACTATTACAAAGGCATGACTGTTGTAGCAGCAAAGAACAGATTGTGCAGTGGCTTAAATCCGAAAATATTATCATAGTGCTAACAGCTTTGATCCTACTTTGCACAGGAATTTCACTTCACATGTACCTACACTTGAAACAGAGTATTGTAGGGAAAAAAATGGCTAATTAACAAACTGAAGGGACAAAAATCACTCCACAGTGCAATATTTGGTTTCTGATCCTATTAGTACATTTAATGATCCTCCAAGGGCAGGGATATTTTCAGTAACAGCCTTAAATATATATCTCTGATTACAGAACAGAGATTCTGATTACAGAACTGATTTTTCTCAAATGCCATAATTTGTTACACCTTAAATATATATCTCTGGTTACAAGACATGTGGATTTTTCTCAAATGCCATAATTTGTTACATTGATTTGTTAATATATTAGAAATATTTATCTTACCTTGATATTATTCAGGATTTTGTCATCTTCAGGTAGTTCTGGGTTTATTGCAATAACAATATCTTCGAACCCACCATTGTTGAGCTTGATCATCGTCCCTGTCACCCCATTTCCTAACACCAACACTGTTAAAAGAAGCCATTGGAGAAACCCAGTTTTTCTCTGTGCACAGTGATCCAGCTGTCCAAAATAGTGGCACATCATTTTAATTGCCAAAAATAATGGTGCACAGGGCTTCCTTATACACGAGCTTATATATCTGCACACAGAGAAAATCCCTAGGATGTTTTATTACTGGAGAATGTTCTATCAAGGAAAATAATCTGAGAATGTTAATTGTCCCTTTGGTTACATGTTAACAAACTGGAAAAAATCTTTCAAGACATAAACGAATCTTATACTTCCTTGTTCTGCATGACCTGAGGTCCAGAGGTTACCAAAGGTTGGACCTGAAGTGAATCACAGCAGCGGACTAACATTTCTTATTTGCTTTAAAGTGCCCAGAAAAAAGGATATGTGTCTTGAACCAGGTGGATGCCCTTGAGATTATGGTTGGTGACATAGTGGCCAAAATTCTATTACATACTGTAGTTATGTCTTCAGAAGACTAACTCAAAGTGGCTTCTCGCTGCTGGTAAATGAGCCTCCACTTTTCTGCTACGTGCCAAAAAAATCTAAGTGGGGACTCTTTAATTAGCAGACAAGAAGCCATTGCATATTAATCCATTTGCCTTCTACAGACATAATTCAGCAACAGGAGATGGACCATTAAATTTGTAGTAAAGTTAGAATAAGTTGATTCTTTTAATACTGTTTATAGCACTTGTAGGACTAAACGAGATATAATTACTAATTCCCAGTTAGTTCATTACATGGTTGCAATGGTGTAAACTGCCATGGCGGATTGTCATTAGTTAATATGTTGCTGCCGGTATCCCATCTTGTACAGTAGTCATGTGAGTTGATATGCAAGTGGCGACACATTAACTAACAGCAATTAACCACAGAAGTTTACACCTTCTGCACATATGCCAGTGTCATTAATCACATGGTGAAAAACAACAAGAAAATGGAAGTAGCCCAAATGGCTCCTTGCTCATGGTAAATGAAAGGAGCTGCGTACAAAAAAATCAAAAGAGAAAATGGCACTCCTTCCCGAAAGACATCAAAACAAAACAGAAATGACAGATTCTGCCATGCACATCCATACTCTTTTGTAAAACAAACATGGTGACATTTGTTTTTGCAAACATTTATATTGCTGTATTTTCCACAGACGCGCATGCTAATTTTCCTATATACCATAGAAAGATGAAAATGAAACTGCAACGCTTTTTCCTGATGAACTAGTTACATTTTAAAACTGTATCTACAGTGAGTGAACAAAGGATTAGTTTAATTTGCTCAGTTCCAAACTGGCTAAACACTGAATAAGCAGAATGGTTCAAAGAGGAGAAATGTATTGAAGTAAACCTCCCCTGAGCAAGGAGACACTCCCAGGTGAGACTGCAATGTAACAGTGTGAGTCAGGAATGCTAAAAGATGATCAGGACTGACCTCAAGACATGGCCGTAAAAGGCTGCCCACGTTCATCTAAATCAAGGTGCACAATACTGACAATAACTATTTGAAGTATAAGACAGAAAATCCCAGGAATTTATTCCCCGTCCTTAACAATACAAATGCAAAAGCTATTTTTTTCATGCCCTTTTATGACAACTGATATCAGCCTGAGGTGTGTGCTTCACACTGCCTAAGGGTAGGGTAGCCCTGAGAGTGGTACCACCAAAATATAATGAATGACAAAGGATGGGCATTGAAATACACCAATGGCTTCTCGACTCCTAATTTCAGAATGGCGATCTGTTGTTGCAATGTGTGTGCGACATGCTTTTGAGGACGCAAAGTCCATAATTGAAGTGGGCTCCTTTAGGATTGACCCATGAACATTGTGAAGGATGGAGAGAAATCTGAACCATGCTCTTTATAATCATGTTTCATGTTGTATCTTCTTGTGCTTTGTTTCCAGACTGATCTGCATTCCCCCTTGCTTCTTTCTTTCTGAGATGCAGCAGGCACCAGAAATACAAATGGCAAGGAAGAAACCTCGTCACCGTAGAGTGAAAGAATACTAGCTGTTGCTGCGCCAGTTAGTCATAGAATAAGGCAAAATATGATGTATGTTGCTCTGCAGCTTCCCAGGTCAAAAATCTAAACTTTTAAAAATGCTGTGAAACAACCCTCCCTAATTTCCAAGTGTGGTACTCAGTGTGGTGTGGTGGGTTGAGTGACGGACTAAGAATCAGGAGACCTAAATTCGAATCTCCACTTGGCCATGGAGTCATTGGAAGTTGGCAACGATAAAACCACTCCTGAAATATCTCATTTAATGTGAAAGCCTTGTTAGGGTTACCATAAGTGAGAGACAGCGCATAGAACACAGAAACACTTTCTAAGTATGGATATCACTGGTCTCCCCACCCCCACCCCCATGGAATACAGTCACGATATCTCATACTCATGAACAGGAGGCTCTTTTTTGTTTTAAGAAGACTGATATAAAATGTAATTCTGCTCTCTGGGTAAACAATATATTTTATGGTAGTCCATAATAGCTACCATTCCAGTAAATGAACACACACACAAAAAAAACAGATTTGAGATTAGTTTCATTTATTTGAATTTTAAAGCCTATAAAAATGAACAATAGGAAGTGTATGAAGTGAACCAATAATTTCCCTTTTCTATATCTCAGTTCTTTTAGAAATCCCCAACAACAACTATCTACCCAGTTGTGAAGCCAAGCAACATCATCTGAATTCGATGCCCTTTGTTTCCCATGGAGTCACATCCTTTGTGAGATATACTGAGAGTTAAAACCAAGGAGACTTCATTGCTCTTGAAGATGTAACAGTGCCGGACCCATTTAATTAATTCCAGATATAAAAACGGGCCCTAATGCACGCTCCCAAAAAGGAGTGTATTGTGTATATATACTCATGTGAACTGCAGCAGAAATATGTACTGATAAAGTTAAGCAACTATAGGAGAACTTTGGTGTTTGGTAGAGGGATAAACTGTTTCTGGGTAGTAGCTGTTTGGTTGTTAACTGGTAGGACCAAGTGTTTATTAGGCAGGTTTGTACTGACAGAGAAGATCCATATTGTACAATTCTAACTGGAGAGTTGCAAATATTTTTCCAGGTGCCTAAAACACTGTGATTAAAGCCAAAGAGAGGAGATGGCAGATGAAAAGACTAGGCAGTGCAAAGTCCCTACAACAGAGAAGTTTGATCTGTGGGACAGAAGAAAGCAGCTAGTGGTGAGCCCTAGGATCTAAGCACAAATCATTGGTGGTCTGCACAGGATATGGAGGTGATGACTCCATTAAAAGGAGCCCTCAAGAAAGCCACAGGCCCCTAAGTGAGTGAAGAGCAGAGCCTAGAGCATCATTTGCTGGGCCAGAGGGAAAACTTCCAAAGAAAAGGCCAGAGCTACCCAGTCCCAGTCACCATTGGGGCCAAGCAAGTACAGACTGACCATTGAGCTCCTTCTTATGAGTTAAGTAGAGTCTGGCAAAGAAATTGGCTGTTGATACAGTAGAGAGTAAACTTATGCAACATGCTAAGCAGTAGTTTAAAAAAAAGCATTAATAATTATTGCTCTCTTATTATATAAGGAATGTAGATAACTGAATAGACATATTGAATATACTAATACTTGCCTGAACTAAGTATATATTTATTTTTTTAAAAAAACATGTTTTTTTGTCCTATGACTATGCACATCTACTGAAGGCAGAATTAGGGATTCTTTTATAATGATTGCAGTATAGCTACTGAGGATGGCCAATAGTGAAGAAGTCTGAACAAAAACTGTTCTGCCACACAGAGTTTGCTACGTTCCTGGGACCTGGCTTTCCTAACCTGTGGGCACAACTTTCAGCCCTCTTCTTCACTCTGTCAGAGCGGGAACTGGGCAAAAGAGAAGTGTATCTGAATGAACAGAATGGGAGGAGCTGTACCACAAGTGTAGGTGGATTTGGCAACCGTTGTTACACATCTTACAATGAAATAGATCTTGCTTTTACTTTGTACATGATCAGAGCAGATACAATTTTAAATACATGGATTTTGTGCTGTCACAGGTATTTCAACCACAAATATGTGGATGCTCATTCACTATTACATGGGAAGCCATTTTGTCCATAGTCATAACTAGCAGTGTTATCACATTCCTGTTTCATAATGTCCGGGTTTTTTTCTTGCATAAAAGGCATACTGTTATGCCAACAATAGCACAGATAATAACTGCAGCAACACACACTATAATTAGAACTATGGCAACAGTATTTAACCCATTATGAGCATCATTACTTTCAGCAGGAAATGTAGTGTGGTGGTCACTTGTGGCTGGACTAGGGGTAGTGGGCAACGTCGCAAGAAGAACAGCCCTTGCTATATTAGATGCTTGTCCAATGTTGTTGCTGTTATCAATGGCACGAATGGCAAAGTAGAGTATGGTGTCATTTTCTTTTGTGACATTTTCAGGCTTATACTGGAAGTATTGTTTGACCCCAGCAATTTCAGGTATCAAATTAGATGTATTCAGGGAAGTGGCATTAGTAAAGTTATATCTTAATTCCAAGAGGCTTTCACTCATTTTGATTTCATATCTTTCAGCTGCAAAACAAACAAACAAAAAAGACAACATATGTGTATTAGAATAGATGTATTCAACTATGATTTGAAACTAAGAGCGATACAACAGAGCCTGCCCATTTCAAGCATGTTGCTGTTTGAGCAGAAGGACATGATGTCCTTTTAGATTCTATGGAGAAGCCAACAAAACTGGCTGCTAACCTCTATGGCTGCTGGGCTGGCTGCCTTCTTCAAGGGAGTTATACCCGAGGACTGGCCATGTGACATTCACATTTATGTCCTTCAGCATCATCCCAGCGCTTCTCACTCCTCCCCACCCCCAAGGATCTGCTAAGTGAAGCAGCTGTCTCCCTCTTCCTAGTGGTAGTGTTGGTCCTTTTAGCAGATTTCAAGTTTCCTCTTCTCCGGGAACCCTCTTCACATAGGTTTCAAGGGCACATCTGCAATGCAACCTCTGCATGTCACAGGCAGATTCTTTACGTTACATCGGTCACCACCCAAGCTGGTTGGAATTAGTTCTCATCTCTCGCAAACTGAATGCATGGCTTGAAGGGCAAAATATGCTGTACACACCCAGGTTTATGTGGTGAGAGACATTCAAATCTGAGTGAAATCTCAGGTTGTTAAGATCTCAACAAGTGCAGCTCCCAATACCCATGCCATCATAGTCTTCTTCCCTCACTACTGACACTCCGTGGTACCACCATCAACAGAACAAAATCAGAAACAAGAAAGTCAAATACTCCTGGACATTTACTGTGAGAATATGGGCCTTCCCTGCCTCAGGGAGGATTCTTTTAGTACTTCTGTTCCACTTATGCTGTAGCAGATTCTCTGTCTAGGAGTCCAATGCTAAACCAGGTATAGCAAAAGCAAACCCTTACTTCCCTGTAATAGAAGCACTTTAAGGACCGAAGGCATTTTCATCCAAAACAGAAACCAGGAGGATTAGGTTTTTTCTTTAGGAGTCAATGAACAATTCATGATTATTTGTGTTATAAACGTTACAAAAAAATTAAGCAAAAAATCCCCCAACTAACTATGCTTCATGTATAATAAGTAAAGAATGAAATGAAAATTCATGTGCACAGTTTTCTCTTTCCAAATATAAATGTTTCTTAGGTTTGTTTTCTTTGTGTGACAGAAAATATTCTGTAATACATGTTTCTGGACTATGATTTTTGAAGTGATCTGTCAGCCACTAGATTCCCACCACCACCACATCAATCACTGGTATGCAAACAGTCTCCTGTTACTTTTTCTATCCTTGCTGTGTACCGCTTATCTTAATTTCTTGTATCATCAGTCTAAAGGTTTCCAGTAAATGGTTGCTGTGGGTTTTTCAGGCTCTTTGGTCGTGTTCTTAAGGTTGTTCTTCCTAACGCAGATTCTCTGTCTAGGAGTCCAATGCTAAACCAGGTATAGCAAAAGCAAACCCTTACTTCCCTGTAATAGAAGCACTTTAAGGACCGAAGGCATTTTCATCCAAAACAGAAACCAGGAGGACTAGGTTTTTTCTTTAAGAGTCAATGAACAATTCATGATTATTTGTGTTATAAACGTTACAAAAAAATTAAGCAAAAAATCCCCCAACTAACTATGCTTCATGTATAATAAGTAAAGAATTTTGGTAGAGTTTGTTGACCTTTTCCAGGCTGTATTTTTCAGTGCTGGGAGCCAGGCTTTGTTGAGTTTTAAACCTTCTTCTTTTTGTTGAATTCTTTTTGTGGATTTCAGTGACTTCCCTGTGCTTGCAGATTCTCTGTCTAGGAGTCCAAAGCTAAACCAGGTATAGCAAAAGCAAACCCTTACTTCCCTGTAATAGAAGCACTTTAAGGACCGAAGGCATTTTCATCCAAAACAGAAACCAGGAGGACTAGGTTTTTTCTTTAAGAGTCAATGAACAATTCATGATTATTTGTGTTATAAATGTCAATGAACAATTCATGATTATTTGTGTTATAAATGCTACAAACAATTAGGCAAAAAAACCCCAACTAACTATGCTTCATGTATAATAAGTAAAGAATGAAATAAAAATTCATGTGCACAGTTTTCTCTTTCCAAATATAAATGTTTCTTAGATGTTAAAATTAAAAATAGGTTTGTTTTCTTTGTGTGACAGAAAATATTCTGTAATACATGTTTCTGGACTATGATTTTTGAGGTGATCTGTCAGCCACTAGATTCCCACCACCACCACCACATCAATCACTGGTATGCAAACAGTCTCCTGTTACTTTTTCTATCCTTGATCCTTGTGCTTTGGTAGAGTTCATTGACCTTTTGAAGGCTGTATTTTTCAGTGCTGGGAGCCAGGCTTTGTTGAATTTTAAACCTTCTTTTTGTTGAAACTCTGCCGGTGTTTGTGGATTTCAGTGGCTTCCCTGTGCAGTCTAACATAATGATTGCTGGTGTTGTCCAGTACTTCTGTGTTTTGAGATAGAATTTCATGTCCAGCTTGTTTTAGGGAATGTTCAGCTACTGCCGATTTTTCCGGTTGTTTTAGTCTGCAGTGTCTCTCATGTTCTTCAATTCTGGTGTGGATGCTGCGTTTTGTGGCTCCAATATATACCTGGCCACAACTGCAAGGTATCCAGTATACTCCTGCAGTGGTGAGGGAAGTCCCTTTTGTCCTTTCCAGTAAATCTTTCTCTGAGTCTAGAGTTCACTCCATGATGTCTCCAGTCATTTCTTCACTTGGGAATGACAAGATCAAAGATATTTATGTATGTAAAGTCTTCCTGTATGTGCTTCTGGGTGAGATAATGCCCTTCCCAAACTAGAACTCTGGAAACTATATGCTAGTTTCCAAAGTACATTGCAGGCAACAATAACAGCCATTACAAATAAGGACTTTTCAGCAACTTAGAGGTGGGATGAAATGCATCTTACGATATCCTGAAATCCAAGGAAATACCAGCAATAGTAGACCTACTTAGGGAAATTGTAAACCTTGCTCCATAAGAACAGAGTGATGCTACTCCAGGAAATTTAAAGGAAAGAATTCCCAGTGTAAATAAAACTAGTGGCTGTCTTTCTCCTTAATTCTTCAGAAAAGACACCCTGTTGTTTTGATGACTGAGGCACTTGTCCCTGAGGCAGAATTCTCTTACCTTTTCCTGAATCATAATCATCTCCTGGAGCAGTCCAAGATAAAAGGAATTCACCCTCATCAACTGGTTCTACCTCAAGGTCAGTGATTGCACAGGGTGGGAAGACATCCTTCAGATTTCCAGCAGCTACCCCTGACATTGCAAAAGAACCACCTGACGTGGTTCTGCTGAAATCTTCTATGTCTGCTTGGATTTCATCCTCACTCACTTCAAGTCTGGGTGCATTCATTTTTATTTCACCTATGAGAAAATGGTTTTGAAACAACGTAGCAGCATAAATGACAACATCTCCCCCTCTCTATTACACTGGGATTCTGATTTATTTTCTTTCAGGCAGTAATTTTTTGGTTCTCAGATACTTACTATTTTATGAGTATAGATTTGCTTTGAATGACTACAGCACTGGTTCTCAAACTGGGGTCCCCATACGTTCTTCGGCTGCGGTTCCCAGAAGCCTTCACCACTTGCTGTGCTGGGAGCTGCAGTCCAAGAACATCTGGTGACCCAGGTTTGAGAACCAGCAGACTGCAGGAGGTCCCCATAAAACCTTGTTATTCTATTTTGAATGTTTTGCAGAAAATGCCCTTTCAAATGCAGCCTCACTCTACCCCAAACTGTTGCATGATTAAGGTGTCTATTCCAAGACGATTCCGGGAGAGGGCATCTCTCTTTCGACACCTCCTCCCTGTTGGTTGATGATGTAATTCAAGTTGCCTGGGCAATCTAGGAGTGGGGAACCTGTTTCCCTCTGGACGATTTTGGAGTCCAACTCCTGTCAGCCTCAGCCCTCACCGCCAATGGTCAGGGATGATGAATTACATCTGTAGGGCACAGACTTCTCATGCCAGCTGTAATCTGGAGCGGTCAATATCACCCTGAGAAAAGACAGGCTGGGGGACAGCTGGAACTTGTGAAAATATTCATTCTTTTGCTGAGATGTGAATTTCCTCCCTTGTTCAACCTGCATACTTGTCAATAGCAAAAATATTAAGGCTTGCCAGGAACTTTAGAAAAATATGCATCTATGACAAAGGGATGTGGTGGCGCTGTGGGTTAAACTGCAGAAGCCTCTGTGCTGCAAGATCAGAAGACCAGCAGTCGTAAGATCGAATCAACACGACGGAGTGAGCTCCCGTCGCTTGTCCCAGCTCCTACCAACCTAACAGTTCAAAAGCATGTAAAAATGTGAGTAGATAAACAGGTACCACCTCGGTGGAAAAGGTAACGGCGTTCCGTGTCTAGTCGCGCTGGCCACGTGACCACGGAAACTGTCTTCAGACTAATGCTGGCTCTATGCCTTGGAAACGGGGATGAGCACCACGCCCTAGAGTCAGACATGACTGGACTAAATGTCAAGGGGAACCTTTACCTTTATGACAACTATATAGGCAGTGAGATCATGTGGCTCTGTCAAGGACAATCAGTACTGTATCACACATTGCTTCGTAAATATCCTCATGTGCAGTATATTGTAGTGGGTAAAATATTTGAAAATCCTCAAATAGAATATATTCAAATCATCACTTTGCCATGGAAACTTATGGGTGTGTATGTGACAATTGTAAATCACTCCACAAATATCTGTTATATACTTCTAGAACCCTATTAGGGCTGTCATAGGTCAGAAATATCTTGACAGCATATAACAATATAATAGTCTTGTATTACAGGTGGTTGTCTTGCATCACTGTGACAAAACAAAAGGACCTTGATGAAGATTTTAGGCTCAAAGAAGGTTGCCAAAATATTATTTGAAATCTTTTGTATGATTCGGGATACACTTTGGTCTCTAGCACATTCTATTAGCCTGCTGGGGTAGCAGGTGCACAGCTGATTCGAGTATTGTAGGAGATACAATAAGACCAATGTGCAGATATGTTTATACAGTATATGTATACATGAATCTTTTCTCAACCTATGTATGGAATTAAGACCTAACAAAGGCAATGGTAGGGAGAAGAGCCAGGAGAAGCCTCCATTTCTTTAAAGACACTTCTTTGACACTTTTGAGAATTCTTAACCTGACTCTTTACTCATACTCTCCCACATTTTGATCAGAAAGTGATGTTGTTTTATTATTAATCCTTACCATTTTCTACATAACCTGGTATATAAAGAGACAGGCTCTGTCTGCGGGTACGTCTGACAGTCTCATTTTGACCCTGGATACGCACTTTAATGTTGTATCTACCATTTTCTTTGAACGCTACAAAATATCTTGAGTAGATCCCATCATACATTATAATATCAGCACCTGAAGACAAAAATACTGAGAATTAGCATCTACAACAAATCTTCTACTGGTGCATGCTTGACAAGCCCTGTTTCCTGCAGTCCCAGGCATCTTTCACCACATATGGGAGCCATGCGATCCAAAGTAACATACGAAACAAATACAGTACAGTTAAAAATCACAGTAAGTCATAGTATTGTTTTTTAAAAAAACTTAATTAAACATAGCATTAAAACAATTGTGTGCATTTTTCCTTTCATTTGGAACAGTGTGACTGATTAGCATACTTGTCCATGTAGTGTGAGTGTTCTAGCTTCCTGTTCAGAAAGAAAGCTCCCAGCTAACACTGAGGCAGAAAAAGGAATCCTGGAGGAGCTAGGTCTAGCTAATCCTCAGAGGTTTCCAGTTAAGGCCTTTCTCGGTTCTAGCTTCCTGTTCAGAAACTGAGGCAGAAACAGGAATCCTGGAGGAGCTAGGTCTACCTCAGCCTCAGAGGTTTCCAGTTAAGGCCTTTCTCCCAAGTAAGACACGTTTAAGTGTCTGAGAGTTCTGCTTGACAGATGGACTACTGTACTGTGGAGCTGATGGTCAAAGAAATCTGAAAATCCCATCCATGA